CCGTGACTTAGGTTTATCCGGCCAACGGATAGAGTAATTTTGAAGAGACGGAAAAATAATTAGCATCCGTTTGTAGCTGGGCTCGGGTGGGAACCTAATATATATATTATTGCTCGTCCTTCACACGCAAAAGTTGTCAAAAGGCAATTTTCGAGTAGTAGGCCTACTGGCGCTGTATTTTGTTTAAAGTGAGGGAGAGCTACTCAGTTCGTCAGCCTCACTCTCTCGTCCTTGCCTATGGCAAGACTCACTGAGCACGACTGGAAATACACCAGGATGCAGTAGATGACCAGCAGTATGTCTTGTGTCTCACTGTGCGTTTTATGCGTTCTACGTCACAGGAGTCGTCGGAATTTTCATTGTGTCATACCGCCTACGGGACTTCACCTCCGGTTTGATTTGAGGGTTTACCTTTCCTTAGATGAGCTTCCATCCAAGATTTACGAGTCCCGTCCCTCTGGAGTCCTGGAGATGTCTGTTTGTTTTGTACTTTAGCTGTCGAGTCCACAGGATTGGGATTGACTCAGTTTAGACCGATCCGCCACCCAGCACCCCCCCCCCCCCCCCCCGATGTTATGCCGATGTATCCACCTCGACTTGAAACAGTTAAAAAAGCAACACTTTATATAGTATAAATGGTTTATTGGATCTATGTACACTGAGATTACAATTATTATAAAAAATTATCAATCAATGCGATAAAAAAAGTCAATAAAATCCTACAATTTGAACGTGAGATAAATCAAAAGGCGGCTTTAAGACCAAAACTGTAAGGCCAAAACTGTAAAGCCAACATGACCTTTAGAAGTATAAACGTTGCTAGGTTTAGGGCAACCTGAGGCGGGTCAAGAGTTTTGCCGCATCTTTGCCCCCCCCCCCCTTTGCATTTGGCTGACAATTTCGAAGCTTCAATCGGGAAATTCAAAAGCCAACATGACCTTTAGAAGTATAAACGTTGCTAGGTTTAGGGCAACCTGAGGCGGGGCAAGAGTTTTGCCGCATCTTTGCCCCCCCCCCCCTTTGCATTTGGCTGACAATTTCGAAGCTTCAATCGGGAAATTCTGGCGGGAAAAAAAAAAGAACAAACAAAATCCGTTTCTTCTGACCGACGGTGGTTGGTAACGTCTGCTGCGCAGAGTCGAATGTAACTAACCGGCCTTGAATGAGTTAATGTGAGGATCTTCACATTGTTATTGCCATTTTTTAAAATACTGAATGTCAGTCTTGTATGTCAGTCTTGTATGTCAGTCTTGCATGTCAGTCTTGCATGTCAGTCTTGCATGTCAGTCTTGCATGTCTTTCTTGTATGTCATTCGTGTATGTCAGTCTTGTATGTTAGTCTTGCATGCCTTTCCTGTATGTCAGTCTTGAATGTCAGTCTTGTATGTTAGTCTTGTATGTCGGTCTTGTATGTCAGTCTTGCATGTCATTTTTGGATGTCAGTCTTGGATGTCATTCTTATATGTCAGTCTTGGATGTCCGTCTCGAAAAAGTTTGGGAACATCTGGCCTAGGTTATAAATTAAAAAAAGACAGGAAATATAATTCGGCCTATGAAGAAGCTTTGGAATTTATAAGGAATCCTTGATTTTTGTTTTAATTCTCTTCTGCGCTTAGCCTCTACGTTGATGCTAGCCACCACTATTTGCACTTGCTATAAAATATCATGTTATCTTAATTAAGACCTAAAATATTTTAAAGCAATATTTATTCCCGTAGTTCTTCTTCTTCTACAGTTGAGGGCCTACGATCAATTTATTGATCATTCTGGCTCCTAGTTTGAATTCAGAGTTTGCCTTCTCTTAGATGAGTTGCCGTCCAAGGCTAAAGAGTTAACACAATAATTGGATTTCCCCACATAACTTTGAAAATAAGATATATTTCGGTTTGGAGACCCTCAGGTATAAATGGTACGTTAGTGAATACCTCGTATGTAATTAGCTAATCGTAAATTGCTGATTACCTCGTATATAATAAGGCCCTATTACATAATATTTATCTCTAAACCATAGCTCAATTAAACTTTTGATTTACAGCCCCTTCCTGTCAAAGTGAAGTAAGGTACTCTGCACGCTGTTAACTCAATCAAGAAATGGCACATGGTTACAACAAGTAAGTCAACTAATATTTAGGTTTTGACACACCCTCCTCCTCCCCACCGTTTAAAAAAAAAAACCAACAAATAAAATAAAATATAAATGCTGGCATCCGTTCGTCACAAAGTGACGATGGTGTGGGCTTCGGAAGACGAAATCCAAGAGGCCTGGGATTATTCTTCAAGGATCAAGCTAGTTCCCAACAGCAAATCGCCTCTCTCCACGCCGCTGTATAACCCAAGGGAACATCATTGGATGATACAGCTTGACACCAATAGTCGGAATTCATTTGTTTCATTGTACCAACCAATGTTATCCGCCTTTCGGGACTCCATCTCCGGGTTTGATTTCAGAGTTTCCTTCTCTTAGATGAGTTGCCATCCAAGGTTAACGAGTCCCATCTACTCGGGGTCCTGGTCAATGTTCCCTCTAAGGTTTGTTGGTTCGTGTGCAAAATCATACAGTTGTGTGCAAAGTTTTACAGCTTCAATTTTTGTGTGTGCAAAATTTTACAACCCACTCACTTACATGGAAATTAGCTGCGCGGTACTCAAAACTGCTGCGCGGCGTCTGAGAGATAGCTGCGCGGCCGCGCAGCTTAAAGGGAACATTGGTCCTGGTGATGTTTTTAATGAACGTGAAAGCCCTTTGTTCTCAACATCAAATTTTTCGCCATTTAAAACATTTTCACATTGAAGCAAATCAAGATTATTATTACAATATTATTATTATTATACGAAGTGACTTTGAATAATTATACATTAATAACGTGCAGGACTCGTGCGACGGCTTTTGTGTTCAACCAAAATCCTTTTTTTGTTTTTGTTTTTTGCTCTGGAACAGGAGACACGTTTCAATGTTTAAAAATGGTGGCGTGGGCGTGGCCTCGGATAATAAAATACTACCAGAACTGTGAGGTGTCTTTAATTGTTGTCAGAAGAGGGTGTGAGGTGTCTTTAATTGTTGTCAGAAGAGGGTGTGAGGTGTCTTTAATTGTTGTCAGAAGAGGGTGTGAGGTGTCTTTAATTGTTGTCAGAAGAGGATGTGAGGTGTCTTTAATTGTTGTCAGAAGAGGGTGTGAGGTGTCTTAAATTGTTGTCAGAAGAGGGTGTGAGGTGTCTTTAATTGTTGTCAGAAGAGGGTGTGAGGTGTCTTTAATTGTTGTCAGAA